TATTCTTCGACAAAAATTATTAGATCCTGTAATACATTAGGTTCTCACGGCTGTGGTTACGACGAGAACTATCTTCTGGTATGTGACGCCGTGTAGTATACTAGGAGTTTACCGATGAAGGTACTGCCACCATCTTCTGAGTGTCTTTGCTGTTTGAATTTTGGCTTACTCTTCGACCCCTAAATACGGAGGTAATGTGTTCCGCCGAAACGTCGGAAAACGTATACCAGACTACATACTGTCACATCCAAGAAAAGATTACTTTTCATTATTACGGTTTTCAGGGGACGAGACACGTAGCACGCATGTAAGAGTTGAGAAACCTGAAGGGAAAACAGTTTTTGGCAGACGAACACTTACATGGTAAACGTAAAGCTGTCCCTGTGCTTAACTAATTAAGCCCTACACCATGAAGGCGTGTATAGATCCACATTTTCTGAATGATCAGCTTCACGCCCCTGCCGCTTTACCCCTGGGGAAAAGCCCCCGGTACCCATTGGATAGGAAGTTGGGTGGACCCCAGAGCCGGTCTGGACGACGTGGAGATGCGAAAATTCTTGACCCTACTGGGACTCGAACTCCGACTTTCTTGTCGTCCAGCCCGTAGCTAGTAGCTATACCGACTACGCTATCGCGGCTCACAATATTTATATGACAGGAGAATATTAAAACGAGTTCTACAGAAATATGGCGGAAGGATATGATTTGTAATCACCTAGTTCCGGTTATGTTCATTTAACGTGCTCTTGTGGACACGATAATGAACCTTCTGGCTCGGTAAAAGGCGTAGAATTTCTTTCGTAGTTAGCTTCTCAGAAAGGACTCTGCTCCACGATGTACATGGATTATAAGTTTATTTATTTGTTTATTTTCATTGTTAATTTAACGACACTATCAGTAGCTTGCAGACTATTCAGCGTCAAATATTACGATGACTGCTGAACTGGAAACGATATCTCCAGGTCCCCCCTAACAATCGCCTGGAGGGCCTGCATAATACAACAAAAAAACAAACAACAACAAACTCCATGGCTTTAGTCGGTAAACGGACTATACCAACCGAGGGACCGCCGCTTGTCGGCGAAGTAAGTGCCAACTTCTGCGGATAGAGGGTGTCGCGTGGTCAGCGCAACGAATTCCCACGGCCGTTAATTTCGGTTTTCTAGACCGGAGCCGCTTTTTCCTAGAAATAGCTCCTCAATTAACCTCGCGAGGCTGAGTGGACCCCGTTCCAGATCCACTACTTCTCAGAAAATTTGGTAGCACGGGGAATCGAACCCGGAAATCTGGATCTGTAGCAAGGAACTCTGATCAATAGACCACAGAGGCGGTCAGATTTCCGTTTTATAGGCGTTAATTACAGAAGAGCTGTACAGATTTCCAGTGAGATTTTATTTTCTGAAGAGGCATTTAATATGAATACAGGAAGTCGTTCACAGTAAAAAAAAATTCATAGTTTTCATAGTTAAATAAAATTAAAAACAAAGCAATGGTGGTGAATGTTTCTTTCAATTCTTGATCGAAACTAATTCCATAATAACAGAACACGAACATGCAATATCGCTAATTCCCAAGCCAAAATTTAAACCCGTTTCCGATCCATTTAAAATTTTGAAAATTTCAAGACCCAAATTTTATATTATATATTTACATTGTTTTCACTTCTGAACTGCATGTCCAGCCTAACGTAATTCATGTGTTATTCTAATACTACTTTAGCTGTACAAAACAATCCCTCTATTATCTTCCACTCCCCACTCAATTACTCTCCTTTTGGATCCAAATATTTTCTTTTGCAATTTGTGTTCAAATTCATTTAAATTACGTTTCCCTTCTGGGAAATTTTGACCGAGAGAATAAATTTACCTTCTGGTAAATTGTAGGGGATTTGGAATGGGGTGTTTGAAGGAACATCATAAATTACAAGTTTTAAGAAATATTTAAACTGAAGAAGGACAACATGAGCAAAAAAAAATAAAATAGTATCTAACGGGAAATTTTATGACTTAAAGGCCTGCAGGTCACACAAGGTAAAGATTTGATCTTTTAACAACGGTGCTTACGAAGAGTTCTAACATCTGGTGATACAAAGTCGTACAGCTTCTTGCTTCGCCCTGGTTTCTTGCTTGACTTATACTTCGGCCCTAAAGAAGAAGGCGACATATTCCTCCGTAGCTTCGGTTGGTTTTCACCAGACTACATGGCATCAAATGCCAAAAGACAGAATTCTTCATATCACTTAATAATACTGGAAAGAGAGTGAAATAGAGCAACCTACGATGGGCTATACATTCCACCCCACACCTTATTTAATTCTATGTACGATAAAAATGTGAGGAAACTTAAGAAAATAATAATCAGAACACCCACCTCCACGGCACAGAGTCGATGTTTCGAAGCTGGTCAATAAATTTCCTACTTTTACGAAACTCTGAGAGTTCATTACCGTACTCACAAACTGAGATACATATTCAGCCAGTTTAATCAGCCGACATCTCCACATTTCTACGAGATTCTTCTTCGCCTTGTCCACCCCTCTAAATCTAGGTCTTACAAGTGGTAACTTCCCCTGTGGTATATCCGACTCAGTTTTGTCACTAACTGACATTTTAAACACATTATAAACCAAAAATTCAGGAGATGAAATACATGACTGTGTACTCACAGGAAATACATGCCTCTGTACTCACAGGAAATACATGCCTCTGTACTCACAGGAAATACATGCCTCTGTACTCACAGGAAATACATGCCTCTGTACTCACAGGAAATACATGCCTGACGCAAACACAGATACAATTAGAACTTCATTTCGCGGAATAATTTTGTCTCCCCGCCAACCTTCTGACACATACGAGCATATAAAGTAGCATGAGATACGTTGAGAAAGTGCTCTGCTCTATAATTTTGAATATTCGCTTAAGAAGGATAAGCGAAAATAAACTTCCGTCGAAAACCTCCTGTATAAAAGACAGACACTGCCCACAAAAGACAACCATGTGAATGTCTGTCAAGGCCGCAACTTAGAACTCGTGTGTAAATCCATTTCATTTGTCCGAGAAGTTCTTCTTTAATTAGACATTATTGAATGACATAACTTTCGACTCAAATGAGAGTATGAGACATCCGCCTGCATTACAGGGCCAATTGAATCCATTACGACGTGCAGTACAGTCACTTTTAAAACAACAAAGCACCCACCATCCTATTCGTAGAAGCAGTGCGAAAGGAAGTTGGCTCAAATATAGGCTTTCCTGTGTACTGCGTTCATCAAGTTTATATTATTTAATAGGATTAATATGTTTTGGCGTTTCCTTGAACAAGACTTGGACTAGAATACGACGGACATTTTTCATATAATTCACGCTGATAATATCTACTCAACATTTAAGAGGTTCACAGGTCTAGGCCTGATTGTACTCGTGTCTCTCTCTACAATAGCTACTATGTTCTCCATTCTGATATTTTAATTCGCAGTATTTCATACATTTTACAGAGTGGCGGGTTAAAGAACTACAAAATCATATAACTGCATGCAATTATGTTGGAATTTCTCCGTTTCCTGAAGTGTCATGTATGTGTGTATGTATTCACGTTTTGAAGGCTGGCTTTGCTCCCATGGTTAGCTATAAAATAGTATTCAAATAGTATAGAGCTCTATCCCGACCGATGTTACTAATATCAGATATGAAGTTAACTATATCTATGAAAAGAATGCTTCTTCAAAAATTGATATTCTCTCAGATTAACATACTACCCGTCTTTTATGGAATCCGAAAGTTCAGTACCATGTTCACAAGAGTCCACCACTGGATTCGATCCTGAGCTAGTTTAATCCAGTCCACACAGTCAGACCCAACGTTTAAAATCCTTTTTAATATTAAAATTCCGGCTATTCCTAGTTTTTCAAATGGTCTCTTCTCTTCACATACTCAGACTAAAATGTCAGTCCTATATCCGTTCCCATCTTCCCGATCTCTGGTACATTTCCTTCTCATCTCATCCTATCGTATTACTACATAGATCTAGGGCAAGTCATAACGGCCAACAAAATTATAGTGCAATGAAACAACCAGTTATACAATCTTTGAGTGAAATGATATTTTGTCCATTTTCTGAAAAGAAGACAAAAATTGCGCAATGTTTCAAAAGTTAGATCGACTCCAGTTTCCAGGTAACTACTGCTATGACAATGACACAAAGACCTACTTGTATGGTTGGCAGTATCGAGGGAGTATACCGAACCAATTAAATGAGGTCTAACTGCTAATTATGAGATACTGACTTCTCATCGGTAAATTCTATGTCCGATCACTGTTTTTCCAATTAAATTGTACGTTTCCGTATCCATCAGTATCTGAAAACCAGTCACTTAAAGAAGTAATAATACCGTTATACATCTGGAAATGTCGGATATATTAAGCTCCTCAAACAATGGATAACAACTAAAACAATATAGATGCATTTATGGTAGAAACATTGTCACATACTCAGCCTAAGAACTGCAGCGTGTCTTTCGATCGCATTTAATTTTAGAAAGACAGCAAACCTTGACGTGTCTTTCAGTCGCGTTCAGTTTTACTAGTCCAGAATGTCAGGTTCTGTTCAGTCCTTACTGAGGTAGTACAAGTAAGACATTTCTCATATATCCCCGTCAACTCATAGTCCATTAAAACTAACAACCGTTTCTATTTGTCCTTGAATAATATATGTAACTTATTAAAATAAAAACTTTTGTATTAGATATGGTTCCTCCGATCATTAAAATACTAATTACATTATTGTAAAATTAAATAGTTTATTTCTATGGCTTTTTAATGATAACTTTGCCTTATGTTAATTGAATTAATATTATTATATTCAAATGATATAAACTGCCTTGTTTTTGTATTCTTTCTCTCTTTTGATATGGTAAGTTAGCACGTAAATAAGAACTGGAGTGAATTATCAACGGAACACATAACCTGAAATATTACACTATAAATATATGAATCACTTACCAAGTAATAATTCTTTTAATGCACCAGAAGTTGAAGCCATATTTATTCCTGCTAATCCTTAACGCATTATGAAGTTCCGCAGTCTACAACTCGCTCCTTTACCGAGGCCATACTTGACATCCACTGAACCTCCCGCGGCGTCCGTTCACAACACGGATCACAATATTTCCACTGCCAGATCGCAGAGCCACCTATGTGTATAAAGTGCAATGAACATCAGCGGTACATTTGAATGATACTGAGGGCCAGCACAAAGAGACGAAGACATATCTTTGCTTACACTCCACTTTTATAATTTTGAAATCAACAAATTTTCATAAAACTCTGTATGAAGATCACGTCACCAAGAATAGCAATATAACGGCCAAATTTTGAGGTGGAAGCAATACAGGGATTCTGAATCGTGTTACAAATGTCAGTAATCGCATGAATGCAACATTGCAACACAAATGTTAAAATTGATTCATGCATTTATGATAGCATATTACGAATATAATATGGAGTTTAAAGATCTATCAAATGAAATCCTCTTGCCTGCAATAATGCAAGAATTTATCTTCCACTATTTAAAAATGGGGGAGAATTATTCCAGCAGATAAAAATCTTTGAAATAATTTGCTAGGATCATGTTTTTTAGGTCAGATATTGACATGTTTTAATTTCTGATTCTTTTACATTTACTTATATCTTTTTCTCTTCGTCATGTGGCACTTTGGCTTTAAGAATGTTATATTCTTTTCTGTACGAGAAAAGCAGAAATTTTTGGACTGCTATCCATGCTACGATCTCTTAAGCATCCCTTTATTATAAAATCAGTTTTTTCAGCCAGACATACCAGCAAACAGCAAAAGTGTTGAAGTCAAGCATTTGTTGGTGCACTCTGTTCCAAACTTAACAATAAAACGTGACAGTACCAACAAACCTGCTTCTAGAAAAAAAGGCCTACTTAATGAAATGAAATAGTCAATATCAAGGAATTTCCTTTTCATATGTGCCGTACTGCTTAGCTAATATACGTACATTACAATGTAAACCACAGGTTATAAATACTCTTAGATAAATAAAACCTTACAAACTACTAGCGCCTTTTAACATGCATCCTGAGTCCCGATATGAGCAAGATTTTTCTCTTTCCCATGCCATCCAGTTCTGGGGCCCAACCAGCTTCTTATTCAGTGGATACTGCGGTCTCTTTCCAGGGAGGGGGGGGAGTTAAGCCGGAAAGGGCGTGATGCTGATCCACTCACGTCCTACTAGTACCAAGGTCAATAATACATGAATCTACTCCCCCTTGTGCCTTCATGGTGCAGCGCCTAATTCATTAAGCACAGGGACAACTTTACCTTCCCTAAATGCAACACACATTACAAATTAAATCGCATTAAGTAAATCCAACCTAACCTGTCACCAAAATTAGATTTGTTAGTGGGTGGATAGGGAAGAAAGAATAAAAACTCCAAACACAAGAAAAAATAGGTTTTTACTTCACTAGTACATTTACTGGTATTTGTCAGTAAATGGTCCAACTATGTTAAAACATCATACAAACAAAATCATGTGTAACTGGCCATTCACTATATCATAAAGATACGTAATAGAGTCTGCACACAGAAATCTGAGCATGTGACTTTTCATGATCAGCACTTACTTACTGTTCTCAGGAGTGACAGAAGTTGTTATGCTGTGCACAGGAACAGTTCATTCCGTCTTTTTATTACGATCTGTCTCCACCTGCTCAGATTTGTGCACATACTCTACAATAAAACACAATCAGTTGCCAACCTAAAATTCTTTTCTTTAAAGAATTACAATATAAAATATAAAGAAAACAAGTGAGGTCCCAGTCTTAATGAAATCTGTTATGATAACAAGAAAATTGCATAATTTTCTGGAATGCTCTCAGGGGCAGGTTTTATAATTTACAGTGTAAATATCTAAAAAACTATACATACAGCAAAGGCCCCTTATTTTGGAATTTCATGGAACCAGGCATTTTTTCCACTTGAGAAAGCTTTCACACACACATATGCCAAGAAAAAAAACATATTGCACAGTACTTCATATTATGTAGGTATTTATGACCAAAGCCACACCAAACATTCACACTATACATGACACTCCACTGTATACTGAAAACCACTCATTTTCAGTTCATCTTCCTTTTCTCATCTTTATAGTCCCCCATGTTCCATCAGAAAACAGCATACATATATGCAATTTTGTGAATACAGCTCAATTCTTTCCTGTTGAGTGTTAAGGATGATCATTCTCAGATAAATTTCAGTGCTAAAATGTCATTGAATCACATAAACAGGTACAATACATATTAAACCAATTTTCAAGTAAATTATTTTTTCATTCCTGTTTCCACATTAAACAGCCTCCACTTATTACAAGTACTTTATATTGCTTTCCACTCAATGTTCTTGGGAATGCAGGTATATTCAACAAAATACAAGTTTCCATTAAATCCAGGTTGTTTATTAAGACAAGTTTTACCAGACAACAGAACACTAAGGGTCAAAGAACAGTGACAAACTCAGAAAACTGTGTGTTCTACAATCAATAAGACTGTGAAGTCTTATGATTTTATTAGATACTTACCTTAAAACTCAAACTCAAATCCAATGCAGCATAAATGTGGCCAGTTTCCAATAAAAATTACACATTAAACTTAACAATACCCTACAAAATAATTTCCAAATTTTCAATGGGGGGTGGCAAAAGTATTAATTTACAACGTAGTTGGAAATTAACCAGAATTTTCCCATGGCATGCAGCTTATTTAATTTTGAAACTGGCTGCTGTGACAATCACCACAGTCTCTGAAGAGTGTAGTTTCAATCCTTCCCCACTCCCTATTGCCTGCTGTTAATACAAAAGTTCACCCCTTGAAGATTTCATTTAATGGCATCCTGTCTGCCCTTGCAGCCACATTTAAATGGCTGCAAGCCCTCATTATTGTAATGTTATCTTATTTTTATATCTTCTTTGCTATATAATGATAAACAAAATCCATTAATTGGTCAAAGAATGACCACTTAAAAGCTATCACTATTGACAAAGATATGAGTACTATTACAACACAGTCTCTTCAAAATGTCTGGGACATGGTACAAACATCTGGAATGAGGGATAACCAGGTGCCTCAGACAATGTTAATCAACAATGGGTTACTGTTAAGTATCTACACAGCATATATCAGTAAGTTAAGAAACAACAATGGACACATTTTTTTATATTTAACTGTGTAAAAGGCGTGGAAAAAGCTCAAAGATTCTTCTGGAAACTTTCACAATGGCCCCAAAATAACTTTTATGTAACAATTTTTACCTAAAAAAAGGTAAAGTTGTCCCTGTTCTTAACTAATTAAGCACTATGCCATAAAGGCATATGGGGGAGTGGAATTTTGACCTAAACAAGCATAAAAACGTACACAGTATTTCCGGTTTTGTAAATATAAACTTTAACGATAAAAATATTTAAATTAACCTCAAGTTTAAACTATGCATCTAACATTAATTAACAGATGTATAGGAGCTGAACTAATATGAGTATATGAAATATGTGAATTTGTAAATGTGTGAAACCGAAGTAAATTATTAAACTGCCTACTTACTGATACTTTAAAATTTCAAAATGATATTAACATAATAATGCCATTATAAAGCAATTAGAAATCTGGCATATCAAACAGAATGCTATCCAGTGTTACCATTTCTATAAGCATTTTAAATTCAATAAATCAACATATCCATGAAACAAATAAAAAATTCAGCACTCTAAGGCAAGATCATATTCTTAACTTGCAAACAGAGATCACCTGATTTGTTCTTTCCTTCATGACAAAATCAACCCTGGGGATCATTCACATGCAGGTGGACCTGTCTGCAATTAATCTGAACAATCTGAAGTCACAGCAGCATCAAACCAGACTGAGTAATTGTGTTATAAAATGATGCTGAAGCCTTAGTTATAGAATTCAGGAATGTACCACTACAAAACTGTAAAAAATTGAAATTAGATGAACTATTATCAAGCATGGACAGATATTTTTAACTCAGGCTTTGAATGTCTGCACCAAGAGACCCAACACAACATTAAAAATTTGCCTCATTCTTGAACAGGGGATTCTGGCTGCCATCTAAGTGTCATCCAATGTATAACTATCATGTATATATAATCTGGAGATATTCATCACTGACCAAGTTGTCTCAAGGGACAATACTTCTGACTTGTATTCAGGAGGGTCTCCTTAATCTCAGCTGGGGCATAAACTATCCAGACTCACTGTTTTCATGGTTTCTCTTGGTACCCTGGGGTCAATGTCAGGAAAGTATCTTAAAATTAGACCACAATCACTTTCTTCCACACCCTTCCACTTCGTTACTCACTAACATTCAATCATTCAATGCTACATACTCCAAGTTACTATCAGTGTTGTTACATAAACTGTCAGTAAATAAATAAAAATGTTTGTTGAAAAAAAAAAGCATAAGAAACTCTGACCTTGAAAAATTAAATATTATTTATACAAAAGCATAATTCTAGTACTCCGAAAAATGTTATTCTATAATATTTGACATTACTGCTAAAGCAAAATATGGTTTAATACTTAAAACTTTGTGAAATAAACAACATTCTGTGGTAAGTTTCAGCCTATTTGAGCCCTCATAACTCCACATCAAGTAACCTTCACACAAAATGCCTGCAAAGCCTTTGTAAAAAATGAAATTGTGAATGTTACTCATGATACATGTTAAAAAAGATCAGGTTATGAAGGGTACTGTCTCCTGGTATGTCATGCCTTGCAGTCTGGTAGAAGTTCACGAACGCTTCAGAGACCAGCTTGCTGCTTGCTATTTTTCTCATTGTCTGCATCTTTTGTTTGGATGAATACACCCCTGATACCAACTGCCAACATTACTTGGCATAGTCAAAAGTGATCACAATGGAGGGGGAAGAAAATGTGGAATGAGAGGAGCAGAAACAGAAGAATCCAAAGGTCAATTTTTGTTTTAATATTTTCAGTTCCTCATATATTGAATATATTTTACTAAATATTGTGATTGTGAAAAAAAGTATCTGAAAATATTGACAGATTTATATGTTCTTGGCACCCT